GTTTGTCAATGTCCCCCAAAAAAACTACCGTAAGGTTGGGAGGGAAATAAGGATACAGCCTAGCTGTCGGCAAATTTGTTATCTTCATTCAAAATAAGATTTCCAACAAGTCCCTCTAGTTTTCCTTCATTTGAGACCAAAGATAAACCTAAGATGCAAGAACAAAATAGCGGAACGCTAAAAATCGAGATAATTTTCGTCCCGGGGGCGAATCCGGAGTTCGCGCATGCGCCATGTGTCAGCTTGCGCAGGTGTCAGACGAGAATTGACAGGTGCGCCGCCATCTTGGCAGTTTGGCAACACGAGTGATTTACTCAGAAGTGGCGCGTGAGAAGACTCAGCTGCCCGGGGCTTAAAGACACACACCAGCCCCTTGTTCACACTTTCCCTTTGTGAAGAGTTATCTTAAAGACAAACTAAATATAAACCTTCTTACAACACCCTTTTTGTGTTCCTTTCAACCTCTAGATAAGAGGGCTTGAAGAGAAAAGAAAACGGTTGGAATCATTAGACTTGGGTGTATTGTTGCGCCTTGAAATGAAGCCCACCAACAGACTGTTTATTTACTGTAAACGACAAGTCGAAAACTTCATCAATCATTAAACCAGTCATCGAGAAATTTGGCAGTACTGTCGTAAGACTTTCAATACGTAACAAGTCATATACATGTATAATGATTTTAAAAGTTATGATGCTATTGAACCATTGGCGAATATTTAGCCTTGTGGACCTTGTAATACTCCAGAATTATTGTACAAACAGAGTAAAAAGGGCAACTGAGTCTTACATGTAAAGATTTTCCACTATAGGGTGATGACAGATAACTGTACATGTAAACACGGAATATCAACATGAAATGATACCAGACCCCCTAAAGCCAACAGGATACATGCTTCATTTACAGCTGAGGAAACGGTATCGAATTTTGCTATTTAGTGATGTTTTCCATCGTCGTCAGCATTTTTGTGGCAGCTGCGTCGAACAAAGTGATGACCATGCGGACTAGAACAGAGAATCTCAAAACGTAGACACTATACATGGTCAGGTACACTTAGTTGCTTACTTTTATGGGGAAAAAATCGGGACCGAGAAAAAGATGTCGTTCTGGTCAGATGGCCGGCTTACAGAGGTGGTCGCTTATTGGGGAAGTGTGATTGTACATCCAGAACATACATATCTCCAAATCTTTTCCAAATGCTTTTCGGTGAGGTTAAAAAAAATAGCCCATCTTTTTCGACTGAGTCTAGCTAGCTCAGTGACCTGCAAAAGGTTTCCTACGCGTATGTCTTGCGAGCATTAAGTTTGGAATGTTGGAAAAGACACGTGCAAGTCGTTGGGGCAGCAAGACCAAACTCGCCAACTGCGCGCGCCAACAAGTCGAACCCACGCCTCCGAATCGCGTGCTATTTCCAACTGTGGGTAACCAGCCGTGTGCTGGTCGTTTCCGTTGGTAAGTGGTCTCCGTTGATAGTCGCGAACCACAGACGTACAGGATCAAATGACAACAACGTTAACTCTCGACCTCGGAACTCTGGAGCCGGGGTTGGGTTGTGTTCACCGGGGTTCATTTCGCATAAGGTCTCATTCATGAGTTTTTTCCATACATTAGAAACCATGCATTAATGAGTGACTTACGAGACCGTGTTCCCTATGATCCTACATTAAATCAATTGATATCTTTCATGCTATGTTGAGCACACTTACTCTACGTCTCATAAAAAAATTGCCAACGACTTCTATACACACAATCCTGTTTTATGGGAATCACAAACTGCACTTAGCAACTGTCCGCAAGAGGCCCTCCCGCGTTGCAAACCTACGACCGCACAACTCACAACAATGGACTGTGCACGTCCGACCTAGCGCGCGGCTGCCGACAATTACGTCCTAATTTCATCAGTTACAAACAAGCTTTCACCGCTTTGACGTTTTACATCAGTTGGGATGGCTAAAGGGAAAATTCTCACCAATAAAAACACGCGTTCATACAGCCGTTTAGTTTTTGACTTGGTACTCTTTTAGGGGGTACACTCGGAGTAATACATGAATGAGACCATAACTGTGGCCGGGGGTTCAAAGTGATTTCAGGCTAGTAAAACTGGATTTTCAAAGCCAGATTTCTGGTCATTTACAAGTTAAATCAACCCTATCCCATAGCATACTGATGTCTGTGTGCGTGAGGCAAATAAAATATGCGATGTCGCTGACGGAAAACCGTTGACTTTTTCCTATCATAGGCTATCTCTGGCTAAAATCATGTTCCCTGCTCACTAGAAAAACACGTGAAGATTGTCACACTCTATTTATTGTCAGATTTGACAGAAAGCCAAGCCGAATATCTGTAACAGTATTATATATGCCCCCCCCCCACCCCGGCCCTAAGCATCCTGGGAAAAAGGTGATTGGCGTGCTGATCTGGCTCTCGTTCCCATGGTATTCTCTGTGAGGACAGGTGCAGAAGAAACTAAGTCTCGGAGGTCACAAAGTTCACGGAGCCTTTTAATTACTTGGAGGTTCTGGTGACAGACATGGTCGTCGGGAAATTAGTAAGAGTAAGTGATGGAATGTTGGACTATGAATGCGACGTGTCATACCCGTACACCGTTTTTTTTCTATTTAAGGCCACACAAATTTAATTTGTTTTTCGGATTCGCCCTGTCAATTTTTTTCTGATTTTTGTGCTAAATAAACTGCAAAATGCTCAATGAAAGACGTATTTTGGCCTCAAAGGTTGAAAAAAGTCCTTTTCTTCCTAGTTGTTAAAGTTGTTCAATACAAATTAATGTAACAATGCAATTTTGTTTCATTAAAAGTTCAAAATCTATTGTTTTAATTATAAACCAGCCTGGTTTGTTGACTTAATGGCTCATATTGTAACATTTCCGGCTATCATGGAGTGCCTTGGCCTGTTTTTTTTTCACCCTGTCACTTCATAATTTTTCTGATAAAATCCGAAAAGCAACAAATTAAATTGTTATGGCCTAAGGATCCAGTGTGACGCCAAATTTCTTTCCCGCCACATTTTTGATTGTCTGGTTAGTTCTCGTGCCTGAAATTTGATGCTAACATTATAGTAAGTGTCGGGGGTAGTTATTTGTGTAGGAGTACATGTGTTGGCATGGGCAGAAATTTAGCTTCACACCGTACCGGTTACGTTCGTTGTACGACAAGTTCACGACAACAAATCGAGTCGTACACAAGTCCGCAAGTCTTGTGACAGAGATAGTTGCCACAGTCCCTTGTCGACTGTGGATTTTACCGTAGGTTCGCTGTACTCTGACGACGAGAAATATGCGGATGTTTTAATGACTTAAGTCTTGTTGTGTTTGCGTTCCAAAACCTGGGCTTTTTGCCCCAGGAAAGAAACATATTGCCTTTATCACAGCCTACTACATACAATATGGTTGTGTTGGATTCTTTTTTTTTTATTCCAACATGTAATCACCAGACGTGGCGACGGCACACTCAAGTTTTTTCAACTTATATTAATGCCGCCACCAACACTGGACAAATACATGACAGGAAAATACTCATTTTCACCTGAGCGAAGTGAGGAAAGTCGTGTAAAGTGCCTTTCCCAAGGGCACAAGATCGGTGGCATGTCAGGACTCGAACTCGGGACCTCTAGGTTCCGAGTCGCGCACTCTGCCGCTACGCCACACGACCCCCCATGTGTTAGATTCACGAATCATTCTGTTAAGAAGAAAACAAGTGTAACCAAGAGGGTACGAAAACCTTGCCCGGTTCAGCTGCCAAGTACATGCTACTGCTACTGCTACACAGTAAGGCTACACCGAGTTAATTTTATGGATGACATCCTCTGAAGACCCCCCAAACTAGTGCGCGCGGGCGAATAAAAAAATTCCGGCCAAAAATAAAAAATGCTACTAAACCACAGGAATGCAAAGCTGGTACAAGTTGTGAATTTGCGGCAGTACTTAGCGACGTATACGACAAGCCGGCACATGCTGGCTTTTTGCGGAATTTATGAATCAGCACTGTACTGAGTTCTTGAGTCGTGGAGCTTCGGTAGCCTGGATGCCCGGCTCCGTATTGCTGCCATGGACTACCCAGGCCTAGAACCAGGCCAAAACCTCGGTAGACGTGATTTTTTATTTTTTTGAGAACAGGCGAAAATCAATGCGCGCGTGGATGTCATCCATAAAATTAAGTCGGTGTGGCCTAACGAGACTTGTCAGATGTTGTGTCAGACGTACAGATGTTTCCTACACACCGTGGCCCGGCCCGGGGCTGCCGGTTAATGACAAGGTCACGAGCTTGTGGGGACTTAGAAAAACTTACACTTCCGTTCTCTGAAGGGAGACATACAGGAACGAGCTGTGGTACAGATGGAGAAGCTGCATTTCAGCTGGCTTCATGGTCTGTAGCAGTTTGCATAGTTAACGCAAGGCGGCGCTACGCAACGGTGTCATTAGTTGCTTACCGTTAGGCCACAGCAAGTTATTTTTAAGGATGACAACAACGCGCATTACTTTTCGCCTGATTTTTGGAAAATAAAACAAGAAATTTTGTTGCCTTCTCACCGTGGTCAACATGCCGAAAATGGGCAAAGATGTCTGTTGCCATGCCGGCCGATAACTATGAAGAGAGGAGACAAGAAAAGGCTCTGATTTAATGTTTTGTTTCTTACTTTGATGCAGTTATATGTGATGCTGGCTGTGTATATGTGATGTTCCCACTGAATCACAAGACCATTTGCACAATGATTGAGTCGAAATGTAGGAACCTAGTTTTTTTTTCGGCCCGCCTTGTTTTTTTTTTGCCCGCTCGCATTAGATTTGGAGTCTGCGGAAGATGCCATCCATAAAATTTACTTGCTGTGGCCTTAGTAAAGTGTCTGGAGGCTACGAAAGACGAAAAAGTGCATGAACCTAACGAAAGGACCTTAGAAAGTGCCTATATGAAATAATTCTATATTTACATACATCTTTACGAACACGATTGAAAGAGATAATAAAGTTGACAATAATTTTTTACAGAGCCAAACTTCTACGAACGCGCCGTGTTCCGTCAGCCTCTGTCGGACAGAATGGTAGAGCCCGGACGCAGTACCACTTTCATCTGCAAGGTGCGCGACATGGCCGGCAACTCTCTGGTCTGGGAGAAGGACGGGCGGGTTCTGTTCGTGGACAACTACAGGTAAGGCCACACCAATTTAATTTGTTGTTTCTCGGATTTTTTCAGAAAAAAATATGAAGCGACAGGGCAAAATAAAAAAAAAGGCCAAGGCACCCCATGATAGTCAGAAATGTTACAATTTGAGCCATAAAGTGAACATACCAGACTAGTTTATAATTAAAACAATACATTTTGAACTTAATGAAACAAAATTGCATTGTTACATTGAAAAACTTAACAACTAGACAGAAAAGGACTTTCTTCAACCGTTGGGACCAAAATGTATCTTTCATTGAGCATTTTGCAGTTGATTTAGAACATTTTTCTTGCAAATCAAAAACAAAATGGACAGGGCGAATCTGAGACACAACAAATTAAATTAATGTGGCCCAAAACACTTAACATAGCAGCTTGAAAGATAATATAATTCTTCAGTGAATTTTTCAAAATATGTTGGACTAGGAGTTCGCATTAGTTGCGTTTGATAGCATGGCATGAAACTCAATTTAATTTAATTTAGAAAATAGATTCTAATAACTCAAAATGAATTACCATACCTCGCGCACATGACCTTGTCACGTGACTTGAGTTAAGGGTCAAATTTAGAGATACTCGTATAAGCCTGTAACAGCCCCCGCCATTCGTCATTCAATTGCACTTACATATATTATATGCAAAGGGGTAGGGTTGATTCAATTTAAGAAATGAAAATAAAATTAACTTATTGTATTGTCCTAATGTTACGTATGGCATCTTTAAAGGCACCCGGTGCAGTTTTTAGAGATTGGAAACCAAATTTTTAAAAGTCAATCTTCTAGTCACGTATCTATATACTAAGTTGAACCAACACTGTCCCAATGTATATCGACATTCATGGAGCAAAAACACCCAAATTCTGACAAAAAAACGGTTACTGGAAGGACCTGGATTGATTTTTAGGGTACCACCCAGAAAATAAAGGACTGATCTTGGGGCTTGTCTCTGCAGTTTTAAATGCTCAAAGTATGACATACTGATTCAAATGTACTAATGTGGGACAGTATGTGTCAATATCATACAGATTGCCTTATTCAGAATACTCCAGTTTTGCCGACCTGAAATTGCATTTGGATGCCTTTAAGAGCCCGGCGTACCCTGATACCTTTAACCGTATCTCTGATACACTTTTATTGTTCCTAGCTCGACGTAAACGATATTTACCTGTTCCAGCTGTTAACTGCAGAATGTATATATTTAGCTTGTGACTTATGTGTATAATATGTGTGTGTTAAGTACTCTGACGTATCCGTCTTACAACCTACCTGTTCTAATTAAGGTAGTGTTTACTGCGTTTTGAAATTGAAAAAAAAAGAAAGATAAAATGAGTTTTAAACCGAGCCTTAAAAGAACCTAATTCCAACTGTTTTTAAATGTAAAAAGGACGCAATTCAGCCAATGGCTGCAATGTACTTTATCTGGTCAAAATGATCGAATTCGAATAAACCATTCATTCTTTCATTAATTCATTCGTTCATTCATTCATTAATTCATTCATTCATTCATTCATTCATTCATACATACATACATACATACATACATACATACATACATACATACATACATACATACATACATACATACATACATACATACATACATACATACATACATTCATTCATTCATTCATTCATTCATCCACAGGGTGACGTGGAGCGGGAAGCTGCACGCTGCCAAGCGGCGGGGGGAATATCTGCTGCGGGTCTTCCACGTCAGCAAGGAGGAGGAGGGCAACTACACATGCGTGGTCAACAGCGACCCCCCGCAGAGGTCCACAGGGCAGCTCAAAGTTGACGGTAACTGGTCTCCACCAGACTCCTTTTGCAGGCTGAATAAATTGTAGAAATCCGCCTAAAAAGGGGATTATAATAATAATTGGACAGAGGAGGTGGCCACCCAGGAGCTTATTTTGGACTTTCTCTTTCAATGTTTCCCAGTTTCTCCAAGCAAATCTTACGGTGGTTGGCCAAAGTAGTTAGCCTCTACCAGGCACCGCGGATCGCTGAAAAAATAGTAGAAATTGGCCGAAATAAAGTATACCAGAGAAGATCCAGGGCCATAGAAGCTCCAATTTGCGACCCACAGACCTTCTGGATCTTCTCTGGTATACTATCCCTTTAATTTATTTCGGCCAATTTCTACTATTTTTTCCAGCGATCCGCGGTGCCTGGTAGAGGCTACAAAGGAGTGGCCATTTGCCACCTAAGATATAGCCTTGCTACCGTAGAATCTCATTGGAGGTTACGTTTCTCTTTGTGTTGTAATCTCTCCGTAAGAATGTGGCGTCAGGAACATTTCTGACAGGTGCTTTCTGGATGCTTCTAGCTCTCTTTGCAAGTCTGTAAACCTATTCATGACTTTCACACTTCCCATAATGCCTAGTTCATAGATCACGGATATGACGTAGTACCACCCCCTCCCCTTCCTCGATGTAATATTTCCAACAAGTTCTATTGGTGAATTTCACACTTCCCATAATGCCTAATAAAGATCATGGATATGACGTATGACCAAACCTCTCCCCCTTCTTCGATGTAATATTTCCAACAAGTTCTATCGACAAACTGGTCAACTATATTGTTTTGAATTATCCATCTACTATAATCTAGTATAAGGCGCATTCCATAATTCCATTTTTGTTAGAGAAAATGACGTACCTTCTATCGTTCTACCTTCTACCGAAGACTCTCCTACTCTGGTTTGTCGCATTACGTATATCCGCTTCATATGTCATATCCGTGATATTTAGTAGGCATTATGGGAAGTGTGAAAGTTATGAATAAGCCAGGCAAACATGAAAATTAGACGGACAGGAGTTGTAGATCTACCAATGGCTTTTACAAGTGTCTAAAAAAAAGAAATTCCTCTTCCTAGGCTTCCTGTGCCCCCGCCGGCGCAGTGGGATGTTCCCGGACCCTAAGGACTGTTCCCGGTACTACATGTGTACAGCGGGCGGGGTGAAGGGCGAGCGGGGGTACTGTCCGGCCGGGCTGGTCTTTGATGCCGGCAGGAAGGTCTGCGACAAACCGGCGATCGTTCCACGGCCTTGCGGGGTAAGTAGATCAGTTCCCATTGGTCGTTGGTAGTCACATGACTATGACATCATTAGGCGTCCGAGCACATCGGAAAAACTAGTGCGCCGGCGCGAAATCCGGATTTTTCACGGTTTTCTTTTGATGTGTTTGATGATGTTATTTATTTAAAAAAAAATATATTGAAAAGCACTATACAGGAGGGTTTGGTGAATACTTGTTACTGAGAAGCATTGTATGGGGAGTTTCGAGGATATTTTTATGACAAAACACTGTATGGTGGTTTCGTGAACAATTACTACTAAAAATAGCACTGAATTATGGGTATTATGGACTACATGGCGGTATGGAAACACTTGATATTGAGGAGAACTACATGGAATTTAATATGGAACAGTCTATTTTTTAATGAGACTATGAAGTGAAATATGCTGTATTTGCTCACGGGCAAATATCTGCATTTCTACTTAAGTTATATATGTATATTTCCTTTGTCGCCACCACAGCTCAGTTACCACGGAGAAAAAACGGGGCCAAAATCAGGCTGGTACCTGTGAACACGGACGGTGCCGGGGGAACGAGGGAGGAAGGAAATTCACCCTGGAAACGAGAGCGTGAGCCCCTATCGCCGCCATCTTGACTTATAGAAGCATACACTAATACAGTGTACAACACTGACCAAGGAGGTTGTATGGGAGATACCATCCTTAAAGTGACAAATATTTTGTTGTGTAAAGTTTCAAACTATCACAAATGGACAGTTTACAATATCAGAATGTTATATATTCACAGAACATTTTCGAACATGTCGGATATTATGATGTTAGTCCTGACTTTCATTGTAGTATTAAAGATATCAATACTATTTTCATTTCAGTCATATATATGGCGATTTGTAGGTTTAATAATCATAATGGCTTATAGATAGGGGCTCATCGCTAAGTGTGGAAATATCTTAAGTGTGTATAGACTGTCGTTCTTCCAAAGTTCTTTTAATGTAAATAGCATATACCATATACATTGTACTACTTTCTAACTAGCATTTAAATTACCAGTATTTTGAGTATTTCGTACATGCAGAAACAAGGTTTTAACCGTATATACGTAGTATTTATTCGTATTGATGCTATTTTAACTTACCCTAAAGAACGTTGGTGCTAAAGGACGGAATGTCTAGTTTAAAACGTTCTTGATATAGTTGTTGGTATATTGTAATATGGTAAATCAGATATACACTACCAATATTGTCATTGGGCCGCGTATGGCTCGCAAATTTCTGTTTGTCGTTTTAGCTAGGGTCATATTAGGCCACAGCAAGTAAATTTCATGGATGACATCAGCGCGCGCATTAATTTTCGCCTGCTTTTGGGAAAAAAAAAGACATTTTGTTGCCTTCCTACAGTGGCGAAAATGGGCAAATATGTCTGTTGCTATGCCGGAAGGTGGATGACAGATAACTATAAAGAGAGAAGACAAGAAAAGGCTCTGATTGAATGTCTTGTTTCTTACTTTGATGCAGGGATATGTGATGCTGGTTGTATATGTGTTGTTCCCACTGAATCAAAACCATTTGTACAATGATTGAGTCAAAATTTCAAAATCTAGGAATCTTGTTGTTTTTCGGCCGGCCTTGTTTCTTTTCGCCTTCTCGCATTAGATTTGGAGTCTGCGGAGGATGTCATCCATAAAATTTACTTGCTGTGTCCTTAGGCTGATGCTATCTGCTAAATCTACGGTTTGATCTATTTTAATACAGGGGGGTTACTAACTCTACTCGGGGAAAGCTTTATTTTTGAAATGTTCAATGGAAATTTTGACGTCATTATTTTTGTTCCATCGTAATTCTACAGTCTTTAAGAGATGGTTTGTCTATCTTTCTTTCTTTCTGTAAGTCTCGATTTCGTAAAGAAAATCAACTCGTGTTCAGCTTCAAGAGGACATTAGTATTATACTGTATTGTATTAATTAAATATTCGAATGAAATACAAAATAAAGAAGATGCAATGTGAACATGATGTCGACTGTAAGACGATTTTTGGAGCACAGGCGCCCCAGTTCCACACCGTCTGGAGAGTCACAACACCGGGCCTCGTTCACATCAAGTCACTCAAAGCTGTTTCGATCCAGTTTCCATCGAAGGCCGTGTTTATGTGAAGTCACCCAAGGCGCTTTACATGTGGTAACCGAAGCCGGTTTCAAGTGGCTCCATCTGATCGCTCCAAATCACATTGAAAGCACCTCGATCCCAAGCCATTTCTAGAGGTGGCTTCGAATCGGTTTTCCCGCATCGCGATTTGCGTCTGAACGCAATGTGATTTCAATGTGACTTCACTTGATCATGGATTACGGGGTGATATTTCTTTATTTATATGCAATACCAAATTTTACGTGTCAGCAACTTAAGGAGTAGTAATGGTCAAATAACGTTCTAGGACGAGCTTTACCGCCTCTGGCGGGACCACATCGGCATTCGGCCGAGATACGCTGGGAGGGGGGCATCAGCAAGCAGGCCGTTGACCTCTGCTATTGATAACACGCTTGCGTGTTTTCATTAAACAACAATGAATGTAGATTTGGTGCATCGTGCTCGGGCACGGTTTGAAAGGAACCTGTGCCACGTGAACCAGATGTGAGGAATGCGAGTTACTTGAATCGCGGTTCAGGCGGTTTAATGTGAACACGGCCACAGTTACACTGGATAATCAATAATAAAAAGGTACGCATTCTAAAAAAAGAGAAGGACTACTTTAGCCTTGTTCATGTGAAGTCACCCAAACCGCGATTCCGGTAAGTCGCATTACTCACATCTGGTCCATTCCTTTCAAACCGTGCTTGATCACGATTCTCCGAAACTGCATTCATTGTTGTTTAATGAAAACTCGCAAAGTAGCGTGTTATAAATGCCAGAGGTCAACGACCTGCTTGCTGGTGCTCCTCCCAGCGTGTCTCGGCCGAGAACGGACACATTATTTGACCATTACTTCTCTTTAAGTTGCTGCCACGTAAAAGTTGGTATTGCATATAAGTAAAGAAATATCACCACGTAATCCATGACCAGGCGAAGTTACATATGAAATCACATTGCGTTCAGACGCAAATCGCGATGCGGGAAAACCACATATAAAGCATATAAAAAGCGCCTTCACTGATTTCACATAAACACGGCCTTTGTGAGTGAAGGAGGCAATTTACATCTACAGGCCCCACTAACCCTCCCTTGGCCCTGAACCGTGACGGTGGGAGATTCCGTCTTCCCGCCACTTTTAAACTCCTGACGTCATCACGCTTCCGACTTATACAGAGATTTAACTTGTGAATCACACATATATGACGAAGGTTGACGAGATCGACCAAATATTTATGGTGAGTTCCTTTTTTGCGTGTGGAACTTGAAACTAAGCTTAATCTGCACAACTGAAGACGATTTTGTGTACGGACATACTTCCCTGAAATTCTATTCTTTCAAATATCAAATCTTCCATCGTCAAATTGTTGCTTTTAAAAACACACACTATGTATATAAATAAGAAATGAAAGTAAGCCATTTTTTTTTGGGGGGGGGTCCATCAGTTATTATATCCATGTACGCCGCTGCAGTACCGTACAAAGCAGCTAGATTACCTATAAATGACCTTGACCTTTGTTGTCCCAACCTACCTACCAAATATCATAAAGATACATGCAGTACACACCAAGTTATAACCGGTTAAAAAGGCCAACTCTATTTATCAGTGCACATTGTTTAGAAATAGAAAAAGGTCGTTATAAGAATGTACCAGCCACTCAGAGACGCTGTCCTACATGTAAACATACTGTTGAAGATGAATTTCACTTTTTATTATCTTGTCCCATGTATACTGAAGAAAGGTTGACACTTATGAATATGATTTCACGTAACTCAAACATTACCTTACCTAAGACAAGCTCAGATACTTTTAATTTACTGATGTCATGTCCTGAACCAATATCCTTGTATATAGGCCAATTCATATCCTCTGCTCTTCAGAAAAGAAACAACATCATCTGTGACACCTTGAACTGATGTTAACATTGTATCCATGTTCCATATATATTGTATAATTCATCACTCACAATTATAGGGTAGCGTTAGAATAAGGTATCTAGAAGTAGATGTTAGTATTGTTGTTATCTTTTGATTTAAACACTTGCCATACATTGTATCAATTGCAATTGTTGCGCAATAAAGATTGATTGATTGATTGATTTATATCCCTATATATAGTGTATCTAACACAATTAGGGCAAATCCTCTCCAAAAAATTTAAACTACATGTTATATTATTATAAATGACGCCTTTTTGGCCGGATTTTTTTATACGCCCGCGCGCACTAGTTTGGGGGTCTTCAGAGGATGTCATCCATAAAATTAAGACGGTGTGGCCCGAAAGGTTATTTGATAACACCACGGCTAGCCCCGCAACACAGTTTTTGGACTTTCCCCCCGGAAGAAATGTTCCGCATTGGACGAGACCATTTTAAAGGAGGAACAGGACAAATTTAATAGTCTACAGAATGTAACGTTAACGTTACTAACGTTACTAGTACCCAAAACTATCACATGTAGCAGTGTACACAGTAACTCAAATACACGAATAGTTTAATTTTAGTGGTTTCTGAATTAGATATGTGGATATTTCTGTAAAGTTGACAACTCACCCCTTGCCCAGTGTTGTATGGTTTCTCTAGTCGGGGTCAAAGTGACAGACATGGTTACTTACGAGTATTAGATCACACACGCTTCGCTTAACTACGCCCAGCTAGTAACGTCTACAAACTAACCACTCTCCATGCGTCAATAGCCGACATTTCACTACAAAACTGCTACATGACTTCTGGAGACGACCGTAGTTCGGAGCTAACTTCCTCCAAGAGTTATCAACCCTTTTCTTAGCCCGCTTTTCTTCCGGTATCTTCGCCTTCGGTCTGTTTATTCATACACAACAGGTCAGTAAGAATTTATATCTTCACTCGCAGGCATTAGCACATATAGTTTTCCCAGTCCTATTATTGTGGTAGTTGTCTTACGTTCTTGAGTTACCTAATGTTACGTAATAGTGTGAATGACGAACCAAGGAGGTTCAGAAATATGGTTGTTTTTGGAACGTCTTTATGTGGGTGTGGCAAGACGTGGCCTCAGGGTAACATGTCAACATAAGACACATGGCTATTTACTAACGTTGCTTAGTGGTATCGCACCTATGTTTCATTACGTTAGTGGTATCGAACCTATGTTTCATGATCATTACCTTACCTAAGGTTATGTTTTCAGTGGCGTTCGTGTGTCTCTAGATCTGTGTGTGTTTGTAAACAAGATACTAAGTACAGGGCTTGAAATTCATTTTTGGGAATAGGACTGCACCGGTGCACCCAACCTAAAAAAATTGGCAGGTGCACAAAAAATATTTTGGGTGCACCATATAAAACAAAATCTAAATTGCCGGTCTTACTGCTCCTCTTCTGAACTTGAAAGTAAAATGAGAGCTAACGTTAAAATCTTAAACAAGTACTACAACAAAGATTTGATTATTTTTCTGATACTTAGAGACCAAGAATATTCGGTATATTATATTTCTAAATGTAAAAAAAATTCCTACAGAAATATATGGGTGCACAGAAAAAAATTAGGTACACAACTCCAATTTTAGTACCCTGTATTTCGAGCCCTGAAGTAACTCGAGAAGGTTTCAATGGAGTGCCTTGATTTTGGTGGGTAGGTCTCGTGACCTCGAAATGATTTGATTTTAGGTCCCCAGCAGCTTGTTATAGTACTGCAGTGGAACTTCTGGTTTTGATACCTTCTGACTGGACATGCTACTTGCTGGGGTCATGATTTTTTGGTGGTAGATAGCTCTTAAGCTTGGGCCCACTACTAGTAGCACTGTTTGTTCTGAAACTGCAGGAGCATTTGTTGAAAAATCTTCGAAGGAGGATAACTCAAGAACCGGTTGACGGATTGTCGTGATTTTTGGTATGTAGGTAGCTGAAGTGAATTGCTTGACAGAATTACTAGTAGATGACAATTTTTATTAAATTGTTAAATATTAAACTTTTATTTAAAATTCGCATAATCAATCAGTAAATTCTATAGCTCTGCTTTCTTCAGTAATAGGACCATGAAACACTTGTGACATATATAATTCAGAATGAGAGAAACATCTGAAGATATAGATTATGTAAATGAAGACCTAATTTGCATAATTAATGGCAAATTGCTATATTTTATAGCTAGCACAGCTGGGAATTTCATACTTGCTGCATTTGGAAGTTAAGTGAAGGTGAACTCAATAAACATAATCTATTCAAATCTTAACCTCATTTGCATAATTTAGGAGGAAGTGCTAGAATACCTTTTTTTTCGTTAAGATAAAGCTGTCATTGGGTGGAGAATATAAAACTGATTTAAACCATGGAAATGAGGCTCTAATTTGCAAATTCAATGAGTAAAAATGTATAATTCGTCCACTGGAAGGGAAAGTTTTAGGTTGTGAAACTCTTGTTTGCAATAAAGTAAGGTTGCATTGATTCAACTTAATAAAGTTATTTGACTTTTTGTATAGTCCTAAAGGGTTGCAGACTTTTAATTCAATAGTCACTGTGGAAAAAACAAGGAAGTTAAAAAAACAAGCTTAAGATTCCTACTTTTCCAAATCTTGAGATCATACCGGTAAACATTGTTAAACAAGAATTTGGACAATAAAACATGATATCAATGATTCATATCTTGAAAGTTCATCTGTGTTGGTAGAAGTCATTATGCTGCAAGATAAAAGATCAAACTGTAATTTTTAACACAACAAATTGGACTCACCCAAATTTTCGACTGTTCAACTCCAGTCTTTGTCAAGGAATGAACAATCCAACGCTTCTGTGACATCACGCAGTCGAAAATTTGGGTGAGTCCAATTTCTTGTGTTGGAAATTACAGTTTAATCTTGCAGCATAAAGCATGATATCATCCATGTAAATTACTTACCATGGCCTAATGATATAACATAATGCAGCTTTAATGTTGACGGGTTATCATTATTTAGTATTTTAGCCAGTGTATTGAATTCATTACAACAGTATAAATGTGAACGCTCTTAATGATAGACAGATTTTTTAAAAACTTAGAAACATGCTACTTCACTCTCCCACCTGCAGGAATTGAACAAGTCACCAGATGGCGCTAGAGTTGACATACCTCCTCACCACTACCTACTCCTTCCTGCTGTCTCTCATCATATTCCTGGTGGTCTCTCCCGCACTCCTGCCGCGACTCTTCAAACCTTACCCATCTCTACCGGAAGTCAAGAAGCTGATTGTCAGAGACGCGTGAGTAAAAAGAATTCAAAGACCTGAACCAGTATACAAAATACTTTTTTGAACCACGTTGCCCAGTGGGCAACCGATGGCAAAAATTAGGTTGCCCATCAGAATTTTAGGTTGCCCCACCTATAACGTAAAATTACTTTCCTCAAATTAAGTAATGTTTACATACATAAGCCTTTGACAATATTTCTAACAGCCTTTAGTTAACCGATACTGGTAATAGCCATTAATACTTAAAATTAAAAAGCATCTGCCAGATACAGTGGTGCAAGCCAAGTGGGCATGATTTTTTTTTTGGGGGGGGGCATTCTTAAAATTCAGGTAGCACACTAGTACTGGGCTACCTAGGTTCAAAAATAGGAATGCCCCAAGTAAAATTTGGTAGCCAGGGGCAACTGGGTAACCAGTGATTTTTGCATGCTGTGACCTCATACCTCCATGAAATATATGAGTTTTGGTAACTGTATTTTTTATTTGTCCCATGGACTATGTAAATAAGGTCGTAATTACCATAGTCTAGTTTAATTAATGGTTTTCTAAATTCAAATTACAATATTTTGCGTGTAAAATTACTCTCCTCCACTAAGTCTTCATTTTAACATGTTCTCATTAATTATGCAAATGACCTCTACATTAGCATAATATATGCATTATGTGATGTTAACCTTTGAGTAACTTACACTTGTCACAAGGTATAAAATAATCATCATTTACCAATAAGGAATCACAGAATTTTCACATTTTCACAAAAACAATACCTCCATTTTTCATGAAGGTAAAAATCCACCAAGTCAGGAAGTGCCCAAAATTAAAGGACGCCCTCTCTTGATAGCTTTAAGGGGGCATTATGTTACATTTTTGCACCAAAAGTTGAAATATCTATTTTTGATTACAAGAAAATCTGCACATGAATGTTATTTATTTCTAATTTGCAACATATTTGTGCAATTATTTCACCTTTCGAAAATTAATATAACTGTGTTACAATGATATGATATGAATCTTTATTGCATGTTCTTGCCCAGATGGGCTAAATACACAAGAGGACATGCAGTATGCAAAACACGAGTATTGCATACTGGAACGCTATATTCTAAAGCTACAGTATTAGTGCTAGGAATCTATACTTACATTACAGCAATACTATATACTAGTACTACCTATCATCTACTGTTAGTTGCCCTTTCTCCTCTCTTTTTGAAACTCTGGAAACATAAATTACGTAGTTTGTCTGCTATAAATTTGTTCTTGCATGACATTATACAGCCCACACGAGGTGGCACCACCACAAAATGTATATATTGGATAAAACAACTCTGAATATCTCACAGAGGTGTGATTTTTATCTTCCAGTTTTCTGTCTTTCTGCATGGCGACCACTGTGGGACTGAGGGCGTGGTACATCTACCTCTTCTCCGACCAAATACCTTATGATGTCATCTGGTACGTGTCATTGTCTTAAGATAATAGCTGCTCTGCTACAAGTAGTACTAGTAGAGATCTACAACCACTCTCACATAGGCGTAATGTTGCAAGCCTTGTGTTATTTTATCGCTACTTCCACGGTAAATGCTCCGTGGAACTTCATTTGCTTTAAGCTATAGTGCCCCCACTTCAAACATTCTCAGCAAGGACACGTCTTGCCACTTCCACTGAAGCAAATCACCCTTTCTTCCTCCATTCTCCACATCTTTAATAGGAGGAAGTTCCACGCTGAAAGCTTCTTTCCCAGAACAACATCAATTTGGAATAAGCTACCACGTGATTGTTTCCCTTATGACTTTTATGAGTATAACCTTAAACTTTTCAAGTCTAAGGTCAACAAACATCTGTCCTCACTGGCTGTACTGTAACCCAAAACATTTTGAGTGGCTCTCATGAGCCTAATTGTTTTGTGGTGACCTATGAAGTAATTAAGAAAAATCTAGCCACATTCGTCCTATGATAGGTTTAAGACAGTAGCAATATATTTGTAAGACAGTTGTGGATTTCTTTTACAAAATTCTACAGTCTTGCTTGTCATGGAATTTGAAAACTGAAGTGATAGTGTACGTCACTTTCACTTGTGTGTTCTGAAAAAGTAGAACTTTATTTCATGACAATTGTATTTCAATACAATCGTATGGTAACAACTATTGAACATGGTACAATATAGAGGTATAGTATAAGCAAAGCATCTTAAATACTAAAAACACTATGGGCTAGCATACTAGTAAGACTTTGATATGGGTTACAATCGAGTGGGGCAAATCATGAGTTTCTGTGTTTTTTCTAATAACAAAGCAGTTTTTTACCTATTTATACATTGTGGTACTTGTAGTTCCTAAAGATACATTCAAATTTGTCTGTCAAGTATCAAGTCTTAAAGTCTATTGTACTTGATTTGAGATATGTGAAAAGCTATGTAAACATGATATCCATAGAGAGCATTCCATGACAAAGTGAAATTCATCTTCAATTTGCTTTGAACAAAACTAACAAATAGGACTGTCTACCAAGCTGCATCTCATTGTAATCATACAAGCAGATATTTTATCCTACTTTGTATAAGTGAAAATGTTGATTGAAATGTTTTATTTTCTGGGGCATGTTGATCCACTTTAGGCATGACTCTCCTCTGGTGCGTCACACCCTGGCTATCTACACTGGGTATGTCACTGCTGGTAAGAACACGTCTTATTTGCAAAGTGAATATAGAAATTGTTCTGAACTAAACTAATCTAAGAGAGTCGTCTTTCCATCCCGTATTGATATTTTTATGTCTACTTTCACAGAAGAAATTATACATATCGTTTTTGCACAGTTTCTTCTTCTTCTTCTCCAAACACTTATGTCAATGACCTGACATGTGTCACCATGGTAACTAGTGCTGTAGCAGACACCCTATGGTTACATTATCAGTGTACAAAATACTTTTTTGGACCACGTTGCCCGGCCACCTATAAGTTACTACTTATCCTCAAATTAAGTGATGTTACATACATAACCCTTTGACAATATTTCTAACAGCCTTTAGTTAACTGATACTAGTAATAGCCATTAATACCTAAAATTAAAAAGCATCTGCCAGATACAGTCATGCAAGCCAAGTGGGTATGATTTTGTTTTGGGGGGGGGCATTCTTAAAATTCAGGTAGCACACTGGGCTACCTAGGTTCAAAAATAGGTTGCCCCAAGTAAAATTTGGTTGCCCTGGGCAACCAGGTATTTTGCACGCTGCATTATGTAGCAGGGCAGAGCTGGAGGTGCTTGTTATGATATACATGACATTGTACGTGTACTAGTTCATGAACATGTTTGAGCTAGACCATGTGAATTGAAAACCATTATGCATTTGCTTTGCAAATATTACCTTTCTGTTTTTCTTACATTGTCATCATGATAGAAGCTGGTGTGTTACGCCAAAAGGCGGTTATACCGGCTATACAGATACAGATACAGATAGTTGTCACTTTTTCATATACATGTAGTTTGCCTGTTTCGAAGTGTGTCACGTAATGTGAGATATAATATTTTTGTTTCTTTTTTTTTTTTTCACTTTTCCCAGCGCTGGTTCTTATGTTATCACACCACATCGGCCAGATGTCCTCCATCCTGCACCATTTCTTCTCCACTTACACCGGGTGTGTCGCCATGGTGAGTTAGTTAACACTTTTATTTACCGCTGACCTCTGCCTTAATTACTATAATTTCACTATGCATGTAAAATTCCATTGCAGTCTGTAAATCGTGGCAATATTTTTTTACAGATTTTTTTTTAATCTTAGTGTAACGATTCTTGACTTTGTACAAATTTGTTCCCCTGGGTATCTAGAACTGTGATCCATGTATCCATGTATTTCCCTACAGTATTATCCTTGCCTGATGTACTGTGCCAATATCGTGTTGATGATGGAACTATCCAACCCTTTTGTCAACATGAGGTAAGGCAGGAGGATGGAGGACGTGCTCTTTCTTTTTTTTTTAAAACAGGCGAAAATCAATGCGCATGCGGATGTCATCCATAAGATTAAGACGGTGTGGCCTAAGTAAGAAATGTACACAGTGACAAGGTCATCCTTTGCAATGTGGAAATGCTTCAGTCTACGTAGGATAAATAACCGCTGGCTAGCTTTGTTGTAGATGTAGTTGACATGAGTGTCCTGTTTATTATTATTGTCAATTATTCTCATACATATAACAATATAATCTCAATGATATTATATCTAATGGAATGTTTTCCTAGTAGCAATAGTAACAAAAACGGAATGCATTTACATGCACATGGTATGTACATGTACATGTATTGGGACATTGTATGATAGCTGCAAAGTAAGGCGTAATAAAAAGTATTACGTACTATATATATAGCTAGTAGCAACAACCTACAAATCAACGTATAGGCAGGGACAACCTATATACAAGTAAAATCGTAGAAGACTCCACAAAATCATGAACTATGTTATAGATTAGATACATGTACATCACACTGCATTAATTTATACTTAAGCAAGTCTCCCACTAAATTTGTTGCAAAGAAATGAACAAGAAGTTAATAACCTAGTTTCTATGTTTGTTTGTTTTTCTCAGGATGATGTTGAAAGTCGTTGGTTACGAGAAGACGACGGCGTACATTTGGAACGGTCTCGCCATGTTGGTCACGTTCTTTCTCGCGAGGTGTATCTTCACCACGATTGGCTCTCTGCGCTTCCTGCATCTGGCCTTGGTTGACCCCCAGTTTTGGGACCTTCCACTCTGCATACATGTGTGTTACTTTGGTGGAGTTAGTTTGTTCAATATATTGAATTACTACTGGTTTTACAAAATTTGCTGGGGCGTCATGAAATACACCGCCGAATTGAAGACTTCCAAAGAAAACTAGCAGTTTTATTCAGATCTGACTATCGTTGCTATGGGATTAACATTCCTAATGCTTAGGCCACACCAATTTAATTTGTTGGTTCACAGATTTGCCTCTTCGTTTTTTCTGATTTGAAAAAAAAAAAAAAGATTCTGGTTCTGAATCAACTAAAAAATGCTAAAAGTTCAAAATTCATTGTTTAAATATCAACCCAGCCTTCTGTGTTGACTTCATGGCTCTTATCGTAGCATTTGGGGCTATAATAGGATGCCTAGACCAGGTTTTTTTTCGCCCTGTTAATTCCTATTTTTAAAAAAATCCAAGAACCAACAACTTAAATTGGTGTGGCCTTAGGTCACAATTCCCAACCCAGCCGGACAGTTTCCAGGGAGGATAAGACAAAGAAAGACACAAAGAAGTTTTTAAAACTAATCATGTAGATTGTTGCTATGAATTGTTTATTTTTCGGACATGCAAACAGCCCGGCCGGGACCCGGTTTGGAAATGTGACCTTAGCATGTCAGGGTCACGCTGATTATAAGTCATGCAGGTATTATGATTAAAAGAGACATCTTGTGATATCTTTTGCAACTGCAGCAGTACCAAATGTCATTTACAAAGTGAGGCAGATGAGGCTATAACCAAGGATAATGGATACACAATCCAATAATCATGATGTGCAAACAACCAAAGTGCCTCTTTTCTTGTACAAAAGTCTTTATGACATTTACAAACAATCTACATGTTATTTTACGTGTGTAACGTTGTAGATAGGTTGGATCATATTGTATCTATATATGCGTGTTACAATATACTATATAGCTATGTTTTATACTTTTGCATTTCATCTATTGTAACTGTTAAGTTAAGTAACTGTTGAACGTATATTACGCTCCAACATACCATAAAGGTTTTGCGGTTTTATGACTATTTGCGTCTGTGTGCGTTTTTGGCGACGTCTCAGGGAGGAGCCTAATGGTGCAGTATTGTGTGCAGTTTGCAAGAATTCTAGGATGTGACCTCAGTGTAACGTCCAGGTGAAACCATCCAAAATGGCGTACTTATGATAGTAGTGAGTTGAAGTTACCTACATGTACGTCATAATCACTTGAGTGCAAGCGCCTAAAAGTATACAGACATTCATTTTAGTGTGTGATCTCCGTACACGCTTTTGGCCCTGTTCATATGAAGTCAGTGAAGGCGCTTTACATGTGGTTTCCCCCAAGCCGGTTTCAAGCGGCCCCATCTGAACGCTTCAAATCACATTGAAAGCGCCTCGATCCCAAGCCACTTCTAGAGGTGGTTTCGAATCGGTTTTCCCCGCATCGCGATTTGCGTCTGAACGCAATGTGATTTCAAATGTGACTTCACCTTGTCATGGAATACGAGGTGATATTTTTTTATGCAATACCAAATTTTACGTGGCAGCAACTTAAATGGCAGTAATGGTCAAATAATGTTCTAGGACAAGCTTCACCGCCTCTGGCGGGACCACATCGGCATTCGGCCGAGATACGCTGGGAGGGGGGCATCAGCAAGCAGGTCGTTGACCTCTTACATTAATAACACGCTACCTTGCGTGTTTTCGTCAAATAACAATGAATGCAGTTTCGGAGAATCGTGATCGGGTACGGTTTGAAAGGAATGTATGGCACGTGGACCAGATGTGAAGAATGCGAGTTACCCGAATCGCGTTTCGGGTGGTTTCATATGAACAAGGCCTTTGACTGAGGGGGAGACGGTTTCATTGTGTTCTCGAGATCGGTTATCAAACTCGTCTAATCGCCTGTCAATCATTTACTTATTAAATCATTGCGTCGAAGGTACGTCTAACGTATAGCCTAGGGGAGCACAGTTTTCAAAATGGCGGCGTTTTGGTCAGGAGGGATGTCGTCTGTCGCTGCCTTTGGTTTGTTCTATTTTCTCTGCCTGTTTCACAGAGAGGTTACCACAGTCGTGCAGCCGAAATGGCCCAAGAACTACAAGGTTTGTTTCTGCAGTACAGTTCTCCAGCCAGTTTCAGTAGCCTCCGTAGCAGGCTTATACTAAGTTATAGAACTGGGGGTTTGGTGGTCTTCGGCTGTTTTCTGATTAGCCCAGTTCTAAAAAAAACGGGGGTAATTCAATCAGGCCGGCTATGATAATATTGTTATATGCAATCAGAAAAAAACACATAAAAGCCCCCGAAGACACCAAAATCCCCAATTTTTGGCATGCTATGGAGGCTACAGTTTCAGGACCTCTCTGAGGTCTCAGTCCGTGCAGGTGGGTCCATCCCTGCAGCTGTGCATCAGGTGCTGGATGGTCTTGACGTCCTCTCCGCAGTTGCAGACACCTGTCACCTGTATGTCCTGGCCGCTTGCCCGGTTCAGCGATTCAGTCTCTTCCTGGATGTGGGAATGCGCATGCCCTGTTGTTGGTTGGGTATCTTTCCTTCCACAATACTAATTAATCATCTATTTTATAGCAAGGTCATGTCTTGTTAGCTGTGTATGACCACAGCAAGTAATTTTTATGGATGACGTCGCGATCGGCGGGCGCATTAATTTTCGCCTGATTTTGAAAAAAAAAAAATTTTGCCCTCTGACAGTGGTCAACATGCCGAAAATGGGCAAAGATGTCTGTTGCCATGCTGGAACATGGATGGCAGATGAGTATGAAGAGAGGATACAAGACAAGGCTCTGATTTTATGGTTTCTTTTACTTTGATGCAGTGTTGTATTTCATTCCTTTTATATGTGATAATGGCTGTTTATATGTGGCGTTCTCACTATTATATAAAATCAAAACCAGTTGTACAATGATTTGTACAATTATTTTTCAAAGTTGTTTCGGTGAGAAATGAATGTTGTACTACTGCTCATATGCAGTAAACTCAGCACAATGTAGATATCATTTCTTGTTTAACAAGCTAAATATTAAAGTTTATAATGTCAAAATTTGAAAAGGTAGGAAGTTTGTTTTTTTTCTAGCCTTTTTTTCGCCCTATCGCATTAGATGTGGAGTCTGCGGAGGATGTCATCCATAAAATTTACTTGTTGTGGCCTAATTTTGAAAGTCTTCTTTATCACAGAATGTTGACATTATTCATGTTGTATAGACTTGCGTCATGATGGAAACCTCGCGAGAGTTCATCACCGCGGGATGGTACGTGGATGATGACGTCAGAGCAACCAGGTTAGACAGCTATGGAATACCATCCCAAGGTTAGGTAACCTACTAAATTTAATTGTTACCTTCGCCAAGAAGGTTATGTTTTCAAGGGGCGTTCGTCTGTGTGTAAACACGATAACTTGAGAAGGCTTAAATAGATTAACTTCACATTTGGTACGTAGGTAGGTCTTGATGAGACCTCGCAATAATTAGATTTTGGACCCCCTAGCGGCTTCTTATGATACTGCATGCAGCTGAACTTCCGGTTTTAATATCTCATGATCTGGACGTGCTAGGATCACGACATTTGGATGAAGGTAAATCTTTTGCTGGGGAAGAAGTGACGTAGATTTGGGCCCCCTAGCGCCTTGCTCAGGAACTGCAGGGGCGTTTCTTTTAAAATATTCAATAGAGGATAACTCAAGAACCGATGGACGGATCCTCGTGAATTTTGGTATGTAGGTAGCCTAAGTGACGCTTGACATAATTATGCGACAATTATGCAAATCTGGTTTTTAATATATTCTAGGATTTTTATATCGATATTATTGGGTATGGATATGGACACAATTCTTTTATTTTTCAGATGTTCACTACCACTCTTCCAACTACATCGCTAAGTTTGAAGACATCAAATTTGAGTCGAGTTTGACCAATCAACGACTGCCACGGAATGGTATCGATTACGCGTGCGCAGAACTGGGCCCACCCCTGTATAGCTTCATCATGCGGTACGAGGAGGGAGTCATGTACAGTCTGTACCCGTCTCCAGAGGGAGGGGTCACTTGTAAACAAAGGTAAGGCCACAACAAGTAAATTTTATGGATGACATCCTCCACAAACTCCAAATCTAATGCGAGCGGGCGAAAAAAACAAGGCGGACCGAAAAAAACAAGGTTCCTACATTTTCAAATTTTGATTCAATCATTGTACAAATGGTTTTGATTCAGTAGGAACATCACATATACACAGCCAGCATCACATATTACTGCATCAAAGTAAGAAACAAAACATTAAATTAGAGCCTTTTCTTGTCTCCTCTCTTCATTATTATCTGCCATCCAGTTTCTGGCATGGCGGCAGACATCTTTGCCCATTTTCCTAAGGCCACAGCAAGTATATTGGTATGGCGGCTTTGAAAAGGTGTTTCATGTCAGAAACACCTGTTTCGCCATGCCATCCACAGTGCATATTGTACGTGGTAAAACTTGATAAATAAATAAATAAAAAAGTAATTTTTTTTTTTGACATCTGCGCGCGTATTCAATTTTCGCCTAATTTTGGGCGGGGGGGGGGAACTTTTGTTGCCCCCTGACAGTGGTCAACATGACAAAAATGGGCAAAGATGTCTGTTGCCAGGCCAGAACGTGGATGGTAGATATATATGTGAAGAGAGGAGACAAGACAAAGCTCTGATTTATTGTTTGTCTAGATCTTTTACTTTGATGTAGTGATGCATTTCATTCATTTTAAATGTTCACTGAATCAAAACCATTTGTACCCTGATTGAGAATTTTAATTTTTCAGAGAGAAATGGATGTTGTAATAGTTGGCAGTAAACTTAGCAAATGCACAAAATGGGTATCATTTCTTATGTAGCAAGCTATATGGTGTAAAAGTTCGAAGATGTAGGAACCTTGTTTTTTTGGGGGGGCCCCGCCTTTTTTCGCCCTATCGCATTAGATATGGAGTCTGCGGAGGTTGCAATCTATGAAATTTATGAATCTCAAAAATATGCGAATTCAGAAATGTTGATAACATCCAATAGTCTGGAAGAAACTCGTAAAATAAGTTCTATTGAAGATAGAAAAGAAAAACTTGGACATGAATCGCGCGTCTGCATTTCCAATGGGTCGCGGTAGGCGTCGTTTTGCTCCGTTTCATACCTGTACGTATTTTTCAGCCGACTGGTCGGGATGTTTCCGCAAAGTCCTCTTGTGACGAACATTCAGTTCATCGGAAATGACGTCATAAGTGGAGTCCGCGTTGGACATTTCCGGAGCGAATTCTTCCTCTTTGCCCTCGATTATTTCTTCCACAATGCAACGGGTGAGTAAGTAAGTATTACTTGTTTTAGGTACAATGTATGAACAACAGCCACCAGTTTACTATCATGAAAGTTCATGTGTTGGTAGTTACATGTTTAAAATTAAAACTTTTGGTCCAACACAAAAATTCTCTCACCTAGAGATTTCGACCAGTCACTCTGGTCGAAAGCTTTAAGCGAGAGAACTCTTTTGTGTTGGACCAAAAGTTTTAACTTTAAACGAGCTGTAAGGTTATTTGTGCGTGTTTTATGATGTTTTTGACTGCAGGTTTGCCGCGTGCTTTACTTGTCAACGCCGCAAACAACACTTTCCTGACGTTTGATGCCGGGCAGGAGCCGGCAGAGGTGTTCCAGCCGCCACCAGGAGTCACGTGTCACAGTCCTTAGGAAATATCAGCACGTCCGCACTTAGGAATCACTGCACCTGCGCGAAACCGACATTTTTTTTTCCAAGACGGGCGAGGAAGTACCTCAGTTCCCCTAGAAGAGATATCGCAGGCGGATCTGGAGGCGTGTCAGTTGGATAGGCTATATGGTAACAACGTTAACGCCACGCCTTATCCTCGGTGTATATGGTTAAATAATCCCTGGCCATAAACCACCGTTCGCTACACTCACTTGGTGGTTTATTCGGTGGTTATCGCACCTGACTAGGGATTATTTCACCATGTACACCTCAGGGCAGGGCAATAACCCTTTAAGTCCCGTGATCTTCCGTTGTAATTTACATAAAACTGCAAATATATGACAAGACATACAAACACTCTCTCTGATTGGTCGAACGTCTAATTGCCGTCCTCTCATTGGTTACACTCTTAATTGTGATTGACACTCATTATCGCTGTATAACCGGAGTATATATGTAATATGTAGCATGGCTAATGTAGTTCATGTGAATCACAGTGGACCGTGGCCAGTCCTTGTAACAGCGCTATACCTGTATCGTCCATGTCCTGATCAGAGGTGAGTGACAATGTCCGGATGTACTGCCGTTCCTGGCCGAAAGAGTGGACTCCGTGCGTCACAGCGGGCCGCTCATTGTAGTAATACCTCAGGTTGGTTTTGTCCCTGGTGGACGGAACTATGCCGTAGACGTGGACCCAGTTACAAAGGTGTAGCATCATCACAACACCTGAAGAAACACAAATAATGCCGTTATGTTTTTACAAGGAGTCACAACTCCAGTAGTTTGTGACCAACGCATCCAATACAATTTCGTGGACTTTCAGAGTCAATTTTCTAGCAGCATAGATTACTGTTTGGAGAAGAAGAAGAGGAGGAAGAAACTCAGCAAAAATATGTTTTCATTCCTTCGGTAAACATAAAAAACAACATAACGTTAGAATAACATATGCAATACATGTATACGCAACTTTTTCTGTGTTCTGTGTACTGTGTTTAAAAGCAGTCCTAAGAGCAGAGGCCATTGTCTTTTTCTAAAAGAGCACATTTTTATTTTTAAAAAATCAATCAAAATTCGTAAAATGTAGTGTTACAGATTAACAAGGGGCTGAACAAGTTATAATCCAGTGCCTGAGTAGTGCCCCTCCATGCAGACCCATGTGTGGGGATGATGGCAATGATGCCCACCTTAAGTTTTGTCGGATTCCAATGGGAAAACTGTCAAAAGGAAAATTTAGATGTTAAGGCAGAAAATTGATGAGCAACTATCTATTTACACATTACTAATTTTCAAGATCACCCCTGGATTTTTGAACAGTGGACACTTTTTAGGGCACCTTTTTTTTTAATCTTTCGTATGGGTTTCCATGGGATGACTGCCAGAGATCAAAGTCACTTTTCCGCCGAACCAAAAGGAAAACAAAGCTGCTGTGGTTATGATTTGACAAAAAAAGGATCCAGAAACAAAATTTTCAATATCAACCCAAGATCGACTTCTTAAGAGCCGCCGCTTTGAGGTTTGTCGAATAGTTGTTTGCGAAATAATATGCTTTACCTGGCTGTAAGGGTACTTT